ATGGAGATCACTAGCTGCCCGATGCGCCGCCCAGCGTAGGAGGAACTAAGTCTAAGTCTCCTGAGATTGCTCTGGAAAGTTTGTGTAGAAAATCTGGTGTTTGTCATTGTGGTGCCTTCGTAAGTACAGCAAACACACTCACTGCAAATTAAACACATTGGTTTGGCATTTGGATTTGGCGGTAAAATAAGTATAGAATAAGTATTTGTCAGTCCAGGCAGGGTTCATTGTCAATTTTGCGCTTTTGGACCGAGAAAGACATGCTGTCGTTGCATCATATATTACGATGATTGTTTAATATGTTTACATCTCGGTGAATTGTGGGTTAAATATTGCTAGGCTACTAGGAGTGTTGCATTCAAAGTCTACACTACACTGTAGGAATTTTTAATTTTTTAATTTTTTAATTTTTTAAAAATTAATGAATTAATTTTTTAAAAATTAATGAATTAATTTTTTGTGTTTTCTCTGTGTTTCTGCCAGGACCACAGGCAGGGCCACTCGCAGGTTGCTTCTGGGCCGCATTTGGCCCGCGGGCCGCCATTTGAATAGGCTTGCTGTAGAGAAACATCATGTGTGAAGGACTACAGAGAGATCATTGGACGTCTCCAAGATGGCGTGAGCTCTTTAGCTAAAACAGTGAGCAGCTGCTCTGTGGATGTGTCACAGAACTGTCACAGACAGTTTCAAAATGTGAGCATCAACAAAGACCGAGCAGATAGTCCGGTTCATACAGACCACCGCAAACTTCCTCTTACAAAGCTTTTCACAATAAAACAGGATAAAGATAGATTGTCAGGTTTACCCGCTCGCTGACCCAGGGTTTGTGTTTATGGTGATTCGGACTCTTGTTTATTTATCATCATGTTCTCTGTGTTTATATTTCCTAGTACACTCTGGAGTTATTTCATTATTCCTAGTTCAGGTTGTTTCCTTAGTCTTTGGTCCTCTTCATGTCTCTGTCCGTCCCTCAGCGTTTCCCCGGGTAAGTCAGGTTCGTCTTCATGTTGCCAAGTTTTCTGTTTCACAGTCTCCCTCGCCCTATCTCGCCCCTCACCCTCTCTCTCCTCCCTCTGCTCCTGGTTTGGTCAGCCTGTGTCTCTGTGTGTTCTCCCAGTACTTCCTGTTTTACTTTGATAGTCTCGTGTCTGGTGTCCGTCATGTTCAGATGTGTTCCCTCCTGTGGTTGTTCCCGTGTGTGTCTTTATGTCCTGTGTTGTGATGTCTCTCTTTCTCTATCAGTTTGTTTGTTTCCCGTCTCCCAGTTTTGTTTTGCTTGGATTCCAGCAGTAAAGCTCAGGTTGGAGTTAGAGTCCAGATTTTGCCTGCTCCACACAGCGCTGATAAATATAATGCCAACACTCGTTTACATTTATTAAACACATCGTACTCCTTTTAAAAGAAATTCCAACATTTTCTGAATACTAACCCTTAATATTTAACATTCAACAAGGATTTAAACATTTTTAATATTTCAGCACATTTCAGTAAGTGACACAGTTTCAGGGGCAGCACGGTGGTTAGCACTGTTGCTGCACAGCAAGAAGGTCCTGAGTTCAGTTCCACCATCAGGTCTTTCTGTGTGGAGTTTGCGTGTTCTCCCCGTGTTTGCGTGGGTTCCCTCCGGGTACTCCGGCTTCCTCCCACCATCTAAAGACATGCAGTTAGTGGGGACAGGTTAACTGATTAATCCAAATTGCCCATAGGTGTGAATGTGGGCGCAAATGGTTGTCTGTCTCTCTGTCTCTCTGTCCAGGGTGTACCCCGCCTCTCGCCCTATGACAGCTGGGATAGGCTCAGAGGAAAGCACTTCAAGGGTTATTAACAGCACCCAAAAGGTCTGATCTGCACGTCTATCAGACATCCAATGTTTAGCAGGGTGGGTCTGTGGATCTGTGCATCTGTGGGTCTGTGCATCCATCATCATTAGCAGCTCTGAGTGAGAAGCGTCAGCTCTAAAGCCTCAGTCGTGCTCTGAGTCAGCAGTAAACATGCCGGAGCTGGAAATATAAAATCATAAACCGAGTAAGACTTTTCCCATCATGCACTGCTCCTGTAGTAAACTCCATCAGAGCTTCAGTGCTGAGGTGTTCCTGTTATTGTGTCCACCTCGATGAGTCTGCAGTTTGTTCCCTGCAGCTTCCTCATTCCTCCTCCTACGCCTCACATCTGTCCTCCACATCTGGCTTCACTCAGTGACTCGGCCCAGGCTGTACGAAGCGAAGGTCTCAGCACACCACGTCTTACAGCGTCCTCTCTGTTTCTGTCTGACTCCCTGCTGAACTTAAAAGCTTTTATTTTGAAAATTTTGTGAGCCACATTCGTGACTTTTATTGTTTAAAATCTTTTTTTAGATGTTTGGATCAGACGCTCCTCCTGCCTCAAACTGAAGCTTTCAGCTGCAATATGTGGAAAATCAGGAGGCTCCACACACATCGACAGCTGTGGAAACATCTGCATCCATCAGCAGCTGCAGCTTCCTCGCTCAGGACAACGACGATGATGACGATGACGATGTTACATCCTTAAATCGTCTCTGAGAGGACAAAAGAAATAAAACTCTCCTGCCTGACTCGGGGACACGTTCCTCTGGGGCTGATATGTTTCCTCCCTACAGTCACTTTGAAACCAATGTCTGTGTTTTACCTGTCCATGTCTCGAGTCACCTGACAGGTGGGATCACAGAAGCCTGTTAGGTGACTCAGGTGAGTCACTGGTTGATGTCACCCAGGAAACGCCTGATGCTTTGGCTCATGTGATGTCTCAGGTTAGTGACAGATGTTCATGTTTGACTGAAACCTGAGACGGTCGCCTGATTTGCTCATTAAAGTCCTGCAGACGTTCCTGTGGGCGGGCTTTAGTGTGCGTGTAGCTACAACACCTGAAGCACTGCTCCATCGCCACGCTGACGAGCCTCATCACTGTTTAACAATCGTGTGATATTTATTCATGAAAGCCTGAGTCACAGAGCACTGTAGTAACAGCAGTCCATGACTGAGAACATGCCTCGCTCAACTCACCACCGTCAGCATCAGAGGACCGTGATGAACAGGACGTGAGCGTCTGACTTAGACAGCGGTGACGGTGAGGCGAGCGCTGTCCGCACAACAGAACGCCACAAACACGTTCAAACCTTTACTGCAGAAGAGCTGTAGAAAGAACACACCCGAGAAGCTGTTTGATACACTGCTGAAGCTATTCACTCATTTACTTTTTCTATTTTTTTCTATTTCTTTTCTACTGGTGCTGAAGTGAGTTTCTGTGGGATAATTAAATAAATCTGTTTCTTTAGAGTGAGCTGTAGAAAGAACCACCTGCATGTCTACAGCCTGCTGTGCTGATGATTCTTTACGCCATAACGACCAGGCGATAGCTAAACGTTAGCGAAAACAAGAAACCCGCAGAGAGCTGAAGGATGGTGTCAGGAGAAACATCTGTGAATGTGATCACTGAACGAGCCGATCATTGACTTTGTTTCAGCTCCTCGGAGACACGAGGAGGATGTCCACAGTCCCATCTCCTCTGAACTCGTCAGGGTGGAGGTCACGCCGTTAACTCCACCCTGGTGATGGTGTTGGCAGGTCAGCTGAGGATGCTCAGTGACCTGTGGACCCTCCCGCAGCTCTGACACTACCGCTCACTTAAGTCACAGTGCAGGAACCGTGTTAGAGTTTCTTCACAGGAACTTCAGGCACTGATTACATGGGACCCTGTGACTAAGTTCACATGACCCAGGATTGGTCCACGACCTGGAGATTGGGAACCTTTGCTCTGATCAAACAGCTGTAAGACGATTGGGTCATGTGATACATACCAGTCCATCACAGTTGCTGATGGCGACTGACGTACCCTCCATGTTGGACACAGTTCCCGTGTAGAAGCAGCCGGTGTCTTCTATTGGCTGAGAGTGGTGCTGTCCTGACTCCTCCCACTCCATGGTGGCGGTGGGGGCGACGAGGCGAGAGTTGGGATGCAGGTGTAGGTGCAATTCCTTCCCGAAGGCAGTCACATTATAGAAAAGCTCTGCCTCCTCTGTCATGTGACTCTGCCCCCACCAACCGTGACTGGGCGGAGCCTGTTGTGAAAAGGGTGTGCCCTTATGTATGTCTTTAAAGTCAGTGGGTGTGTCCTCTGGTGAGGGGGCGTGTCTTTTCCTGCGATGTAGCTGGCGAGCTGAGATGGAACCTGACAGGAAGCGCCCCTCTGAGTCTGTCCTGATTGGACGAATGATGGCGAACTCCGACAGAACCTGATGGAGAGAATCTGCAGAAGAAGAAGAAGAGTCAGTCACTCCTGCAGCGTCTGTTTCAGGACTGAAGACAATAAAACCTTCAGTTATTTAAACAAACACGTTACTGTTGAACATTCAGACCGACAACACCTGAACCTCACACCTGCAGTTCCTCTGACGTCCAGCAGGAGCAGCACTGAGTCAGTCCCATAGACTCCCATATTAAAATAAACATGTTTGGAGTCTCTAGTGATAATTCAAACCTGTTTAGATTTGATTAAGGCTTAATGTTTGCATCATTGGGGGCGTGGCCTCTGACAGGTGGTCTTCTAGCTTCACCTGAGCTGGGCCTCTAGACGTGTTTATGCTGTTGGAGCCTTTCTAATGACATCATGTGACCGATAACATGGCTCCTGTTAGGTCACTGTACCAACAGAGCATATGAGGAGGCGGAGCCAAAGACTGAGAGCATCCTGTGGTTGGACTCTGACTGGATGCCTCTCACAGAGCGTGTAGATGAGTTTATAACCTGAAACACTTCTGTGCTGTGTTTTCTTTTTACACGGCCACGTCTTTAACATAGTCAGACAAAGACATTTTAAATAAAATATATTTTTAATTTTTGTTATCAGAGGATTATTGAATGGTGATCATGAAACCAGTGGGCAGGTACAAAGCTGACTGTGGTTTCTGTGTTTTACTTCAAAGACATTACTAATCATTTATAACACGACTCCAGCTGTTTCATCCAGATGTTATAATAAATAAATAAACACTAAAACCTCTGATCCTCCCACACAGGACAGTTTCTACAGGATTACATCAGCTCAGGCTGGACACAGTCTTACTCTGAGAGCAGCTCTGAGAGGACGTCTCTGTCCTGGTGGAGATTAGAGAGCAGGACGAGGGTCCTCACGTATAGAAAGATGAACCTTTGTTTGTCTGTGAGCTGTACCTACACTGATGAAGAGGAAGGATGAGTGGGCTCTGTCTGAGGTCATGGAGGTCTCACACACACACACACACACACACACACACACACACACACACACACACACACACACACACACACACTGAGTGTCCTCATGAGGACTCAAATAACACTTCACTCCTGAACCTCACTGCATGTGAAGGTCCCCAATTTGTAGAAGTGTCCCCACTGTGATGTGTAAAGGCTCGGTCCTCATGTAGCAGGAATGTGAGCACAAACACACACACAGTGAGGATTTGATGAAATATGATCTGGATGGCTCACATTCCCCAAACGTCTGAAACACGTAAACACTGAGATTTACTGGGAAAACGTGCAGAGGAGGGGCCTCACACCGAGAGCCGCTCTGTGATTGGTCAGTGTGCTGATGGACTGTTTGAGTTTGACCTTGACTGCACAGTTCAAAGGTCAGCACGCAGAGCACTGAATGGAAACCACCACAGAAGAAGAGCAGGAGTGTTACTGCATCAGTGCAGCTGCTGTGTAACTGGTGTGCAGATAGAATCAACAGTACTGCAATGTCAGTATTGCAGCATGAGAAGTATTAGAGGAGAGTCTCACCTGTGCTCTGGGTGATGTAAACTGAGTGCAAACAGTGGACGTGCAGCAGAAAGGTGATGATCAATAATCCACAGCGACGCTCCTCCATGCTGACAGTGAGGCTCTCTGTGAGGCAGACACACTGAGACTAACTGCTGAGCAGACTGAGCTCGGACAGACACTCCTCCACTCCGTCATTATCTCCTCCCTCTGACTGCCGTGTGCAGCACGGTCCTTCCCCTCCAAGCTTTCTGAAGGTCCTGGATCTGGTTTCACACCAACAGTACGGGACAACAGCTGACCCACACAGACACAAACACATGAACTTGTTCTTCTATCCTTGTGAGGACCCCAAAAACCTGAACCTGTGCGGATCAGGGACCTGACTTTGTTTGGGTCTGTGAGGCATTTTTATATTGATGAAAGATTTTGATTGGTTGAAGAAATGCAAATGTCACAAGCGCTGCATGGTTTTTTAGTTATTAACCTCATCAAAGTGCTCCCTAAAACAGTGTTTATTACTTTTTAAACAACAATATTCAAGTTTGTCTGAAGCAGTGGCTCCACCTGCTGGTGAAGCTGCACTTACACTCAGAACAGTAACATGAACTCCATGAAGCTTGCGTTGTAAAAACAAAAGTGTTAGTAAGTGAACTGTTATGGAAGCATAGAGCTGTATCACATTATAACATGAAACCTTTATCGTTCTAACATATGGTTTCATGTTTGTACATATTATCATGTTATTACAATATTGTAATAACATGATAATATGTTGTACGAACATCCGTTATAATAATGTTTTTTATTGTGAGAGCTGATGTCAGAGCTTCCTGCTGATGGAGCAGCAGCTGCTCTCAGCACTGAATGATCTTTGGTCTGCACAGGGGTGTCCAACATCAGGCCTGGGGGCCACAACTGGCTTGTCAAAGACCCCCACCCGGCCCACTGGACATCTTTGGAAAATGTAAATGAGGCCAAACATTTAGGAACTTTCACAGGATTTTATTATTTTACAGCTTTTCTGATATAAACCCCACCGACTGACGCTCAGCACCAGCAGGAACAGGCAAGGTCTGAGGAACCAAAGGACGTCCACACAGAGCTTTCTCAGCTGATACCCCAACCTTAAACTCCCGGCGTGTCCACCACAGCTTCCCAAACACTCGTCCCGTTTCCTCGCTGATTCCTGTCGTCACCGCTTTGAAGGAAGTCTTTGACTCGAACGCTGCTCGTCCTAAAATAGTGTTCGCTGAAGCACTTTGACCCACTCCGGTTCTACCGAGGAGGACGATGGTGAGATCTGGATCCATGACCTGAGAACACACACACACGTTTCTGCTGTCATTTGAGTTTCTCTCTGTGTGTCTGTGGAAAGTCTCCTGTGACAAAGTGAACTGAAACCAGCTCTATCTGTCCATGAAGCCAGATAACACACACCAATGAGTTCAACTGCAGGAATGTCTTAAAGACATAAAGACCTGGATGGCCGCTAACTTTCTGCTTCTTCATTCAGATCAAACTGAGGTTATTGTACTCGTCCCTAAAAAGCTTAGAGATATGGTATCTAAGCAGACTCTTACTCTGGATGGCATTACCTTGGCCTCCAGTAACGCTGTGAGGAACCTTGGAGTCATTTTTGACCAGGACATGTCCTTCAACGCACATATTAAACAAATATGTAAGACTGCTTTCTTCCATTTGTGCAACATCTCTAAAGTTAGAAATATCCTGTCTCAGAGTGACGCTGAAAAACTAGTTCATGCATTTATTACTTCCAGGCTGGACGACTGTAATTCATTATTATCAGGATGTCCAAAAAACTCCCTGAAAAGCCTTCAGCTAATCCAAAATGCTGCAGCAAGAGTCCTGACAGGGACTAGAAAGAGAGAGCAGATTTCTCCTGTTTTGGCTTCCTGTTAAATCCAGAATTCAAAATCCTGCTCCTCACATACAAGGTCTTAAATAATCAGGCCCCATCTTATCTTAATGACCTTGTAGTACCATATCACCCTATTAGAGCACTTCGCTCTCGCTCTGCAGGCCTACTTGTTGTTCCTAGAGTATTTAAAAGTAGAATGGGAGGCAGAGCCTTCAGTTTTCAGGCCCCTCTTCTGTGGAACCAGCTTCCAGTTTGGATTTGGGAGACAGACACTATCTCTACTTTCAAGATTAGGCTTCAAACTTTCCTTTTTGCTATAGCATATAGTTAGGGCTGGACCAGGTGACCCTGCTAAAATATTGTACTTGAGTAGGTGAATCACCCTTATTTCGACAAATAAACTTAGGATTATGCCGGTGTCACAGAAGAAAGTCAGTCAAGGGGGGAACAAAACTCTCCAAGATAAATTGTCGGACTTTACGAAGTCGAGGGCTAGCAAGGATTCATCAGCTAGCAGTGAGGCCATGGACTCCGGCGAGGCTAACACCAGCGGGACTCCAGAGGTTAATGCACCGGACAGAAGCAAGGATATGGCGGCGGGAGAGTCCTGCCCCACGTTGGCCATGATCCTGACCACTATCAACAACATAAAAACAGAGTTTTCCACCAGGTTTGATGGCATATTGTCCGCTATTGATAGTGTGAGGAAAGACATTACTGACTGTGTAGAGCACGTCACAGAAGCAGAAACTAGGATTCCGAGATTCTTGAGATACCCATTTCTGTCTTCTAATTGAAAATAAATTTTAATAAATAAATAAATAAAATACAAAAAAACCAAAAAAGATTAAGAGGCCGAACGTATTTCTGCAACAATTGGTCAACTTCAAGTAAGTGGGGCTCAATCAAACCAACAGACCACTTCTCATTAGTGTTGCTTAGAAATCTGATTTGAAATGTGAAATGTGATTTCACCTATGGCAAAGAGGGGTGTTTATGAATAGATAAGAATTTAATATCTATCTATTCATAAACACCCCTCACTACAAAGCAGGCGAGGAATTACAAACCCCTCATCATCAGTGGCACGCCAGTGGAGAGAGTGGACAGTTTCCGATACCTGGGTGTCCACATCACTCAGGACCTGTCATGGTCCTGTCACATCAACACCCTGCTTAAGAAAGCCCGTCAGCGTCTCTTCTTCCTCAGAAGACTTAGAGACTTCCATCTGCCACTGAAGGTGCTCAAGAACTTCTACTCCTGCACCATCGAGAGCGTCCTGACGGCAAACATCTGCACCTGGTTTGGGAACAGCACCAAGCAGGACAGACGAGATCTGCAAAGGGTGGTGCGCTCGGCAGAACGCATCATTCAATCAGAGCTCCCTGACCTGCTGTCCATCTACACCAAGCGGTGCAAGTCCAAAGCTAGGAAGATTATGATGGACCTCTCCCATCCCAACAATGGACTCTTCTCACTGTTGAGGTCTGGGAAGCGCTTCCGCTCCCTTAAGGCCAAAACAGAGAGATAAGAATTTAATATCTAACCTTGGTGGCACAGGAGGGTATGGTTAGTGTTATAGTTAACAGTTGAATTGTTTGGTTTTACTAGTTCAGCTATACGGTGTCATCCTTGGGTGGGACTATTAATTGCTACCTGGAAACTTTAAACATCTGGGGAAGGAAATCCAGGTTAAAAGACCTGGATATGGGTGACAGTGAGGGTATTTGGGCAGTTTCTCTTGTTAGCAGTAGTATTTATGTTAGCTTTCTGTCTTTTTCTTTTTGTAATTTTTTTTTACATATATTTTCACTTGTTTGGGGAATATAACTACACAATCTACAAGAAATGTCTACTGAGATAAAAATCTAAATCACATCATGGAACTGCAGAGGGTTACGAAATCTGAGGAAAGTTAAACAAGTCATGAATAGGGATGGGTACCGGTATCAGTTCTGACATAAACGGTAGTAACCAGACCGAAAAGCAGCGCACATTTCGGTGCTTTATTTGGGTGCTTTTTTTCCCCTGAGATGTCACACACCTTGGATTCTAGCCAATCATTTTACCTTTGCAAACGTAGTAGGCGGGCCCAGGTACGTACATTCTTTTAGAGCAGATCTACAGATTAAAAATGCCCAAGGCGAAGCGGTCAAAAGTCTGGCTGTACTTCACAGCAAACACCTGGTGATGTATAGCATTTTGTTAAAAGCTGAGAAGCGCGCCGTATTTGATAGCTTGCTGCGAGACCTCACACTGTGCACATCTACTGCGGGTGTGGTGCCTGTTATCTGACCCGGAGTTAGCAACATCCCCCAAAAACACGAAGAGGAGAGTCCTGGCCCCTAGCCCTGCCAGTGTAGCAGAAATGATGAGGATGATGATGCAGCAGCAGCCGTTCTTCTCTGCGTGAGTAGCTTAATGTTGTTCGTGTGTCATTTACGTTGAGTAGGCTAACCACGTTATTACATTAATGCATGTAAGGTGAACTAGCAAACATCATCATAGCTACATGCGGCTGTCCTCTTGTTTGATGGCAGATACTCCCTTCACCCTGGCCAAAAAGGCTAAAATGACCAAAGAAAAAGTGGGAAACAGTTAAACATGAGAGGTTTTTGGACAAAGTTTGTGTTTTTTGCTGATTTTATTGTTTTAAATGTGTTTTTTTATACATATATTTTACTTATCTTATATTATTATTACTATTTTTCTCATTTTTTTTTAACATGCTCATGTTTGGCATGTCAAGTGTACAGCACTTTGTTTTCAGCTGGTGGCTGATCTGAAAGCGCTATATAAATAAATTGCTTGCTTGCTTGCTTTTTTCCATTGTTTAAGCACTGCTTCCAGCCAAGAGTGATACCATATATGCCCCATAGCTGCATAAAAGGCTAACATTGTTATCTTTTTACATAAAAGCAGTTAAACATGAGAGATTTTTGGACAAAGTGTGTGTTCTCCATTCTTTAAGCACCGGTTGGAGCACCGGCACCGTTTCAAAAGTAAAACTGGTATCGGATAAAACCTAATCGATACCCATCCCTAGTCATGAACAGAATAGGAGGAGAGCTTAAATGCCCAAACCCACTATTGTACTACTGGGCGGCGCAGCCGAGAACACTAATGTTTTACTATTCAGAAGAGAATGTGCCACTGAGGAGAGAGATGGAAGAGTATGCGCTGAAGTTGCCATTTCCTATTTATCTGTACTCGGCTAATCTTAAGAAACTAAAAAGAAACAGCAACGATCCCATGGTCAGAAATATGATTGTGGTGTGGCAT